GAAATTTAGTCGACTGAGTTTCCGTAATCGATACACCATTAATTTTTAACCGATAATCATTACGTTTTCTACTATTTTTATCAAAAACGATAAGTACGCATTTATCTGGGGCAAGAACAAGATTTATACTTCTAAGAAAATTTGACAAAATGGTGATAAGATTTTCCATCAATATGAGGTCATTTTTAACATCGTCCGATTTGATATACAAAACTACCTCATGAGTTTAAAAAAATTTTAAAAACATAAATGAAAAAAAAATTGATGATTAAATAGCATCATATACATATATTTTCAAAATAATCTCCGACAAATCTTACTATCAAATCATTAGCTCGTTTCGTTCTACATCACTCTCCGGCCTCCTGAAATATTTATTCACTGGTACGGAGTTCATAATATTTTATTTTATTCTTTATCTTCTTCATTAATATTGTTGTAAACTAGCAAGCTCATTCTACAAAGGTTGCACTATTTAATATTTAATATTTGATATTATTAACAGTCGTTTGATCTCAATACTATATGTAACTTTCAATTACTAAGCATGTACACACGCTGTACATTTATTTAAGTTACTTTGTTACATTACATACAATTCTTTATAATTTACAACTTAGTCATTTTCATAACTATAACTATTATACAACGCTGTTGTAAATTTGTTAATGTGCTGCGCTCGGTAACATACTGTTATTTGATTGCAACTGGGCCCACGGCCTGTAAATTCTATAAATAAATAAATCATATAGCTTTAGTACAAATAAGAGTGATCCCTATTACTATCATGACTCGGCCTGACATTATTACTTTTAATTTATCGATTATAATATTGAGAGATCAAGTGCTAGTGTACCAACAAGAGTCACAAAATGTTGCTTAATTATTCTCATTAAATTTTTTACTACGCTATATTGGAGCAAATTTCTAAAAAACGACTACTACTTTATTTATAAGGTCATACTCCTTATGGATTAGAAAAAAAAATGTTGCGGAATGAAGCGGCTGATATAGCGCACTCATACCGCTTTTGCCATCACTTAATAATATTTATTATATCTATTAATATTTTGTGCGCCAATTTTTTCGAGTAACTTAATATTGCGTTGTCTAGAATTCTTATTTCGAGCACTTTGAGATCTCGCAATGAACTATATTAAATGTAATGTTTCATAAGCTTTATAAATCATTGAGCGATATAAAAAACGGTTGTAAATTTACAGAAAATTTAAATTGTTATCTCTCTAGAATAATTTAAAAAGTCAAAAGCTTACGCACTGGATCATTACATTTGGCTGACAGAAACTAAAGGTATAGCTAATAACTATATAAATACATAACACGCATACGTGCGCACAAAAATACTTTTTTTAACCAACACAATTTTTTCTGTTGGTGTAAATAAATTAAAGTGCCTAGATAAAATTTTCTATTTACTTACCTTTTATAAAATAGCATATGAGGCATTTTACTTTAATAAGTATTGAGCAAATGTAAAAAAAAATTGATTTTATGACAATGCAACATACATCTATTGAATTGCAGGAGAAAAAAAAAGTGCTAGAAATCGAATCAAGGACCAAAACATAACTCAAATAAATAATTCAATCTTAAATAATAACGCAAGCGCCTATTACTCGATGACTTGAGGCGCTTACTGGCCACCGTAGTGTATAAAATACATAAGGTGGGCTCTTCAGCCACCAAACCGATCAGCCAATCAGCAGGAGGCTTGAAACAAGCGACCTTTCATTTTGGATTTTCCACCAATGAGCGTTGAGAGCGCGTTGTTCAACAACTTACACTTTACTGCTAAAAATAAATATAACTTACCTCGAAAAGCAGTATTAAATTAAAAGCTTCGTTCGTACGATAACGTAAATTAGATTGCCGGAGATGAACGAAAAAACTGATTTCTGATGTTAAAAATTCACATTAAAAGAAAAAAAATTGTAAAATTTGTTTGTTGAAATATTTAATATACTGTGTTTATCGTATATCTCATAAATAATCAGATGATTACATAGAATTATATTTATATATAAAAAAGTGCACCTAACAAATTTTAATTATATCAATCATCGATAAAATTTTTTACCCTGTACTCTTGTTTACGTGTAGCAGTAGTTGAAGAACGCGCTCTCTACGGTCATTGGTGGAAAATCCAATATGGAAGGTCGCTTGTCCCAAGCCTCCTGATTGGCTGATCGGTTCGGTGGCTGAAGAGCCCGCACGGAAAAAACTTTTGAACGTACAGAGCACAGTTACGCAGGCTAAAGAAGTTCAAATCGCTTTGAACTCCTACTGCACAAGTTGTCAAGAAAGTGAGCTTTGAGCAATCAAAATTCCCGGCTTGCTCACACATGCGCCGCCTTATGGAGACATCGGGCACTACAGTCACTNCCCCCTCGAGCTTCTGCAGTTCAATGCTATGCCGTACTGTACAAGCCCAAACTACAGGCTACGCGGCGCGCATGGTTGTGCAGTCTCAGTTGAACGCTGTTTTGAACTCGTGTGACTCGATCTTCGAGTCAAGGCTGCTTGTACACTTGTGCAGTAGGAGTTCAAAGCGATTTGAACTTCTCTAGCCTGCGTAACTGGGCTCTGTACGTTCAAAAGTTTTTTCCGTGCACCTTAAGTATTTCTTATACCATGCTGGCCACTTTAATGTATGATATTGCAAGCGACTATCACCCGATAGTCGGGGGAGCTTACTAGCCACTCTAATCAATAACTAAAATGTTAAATATATTACAAGTGCCTATCTCCCGATGACCCGAGGCGCTTAATTACTAGCCGCTCTAATAAATAACTAAAATGTTATTAGAGTGGCCAGTAAGCGCCCCGCGTCATCAGGTGACAGTTGCTTGTGTTATTATGCAAGATTTAATTATTTATTAGAGTGGCCAATAAGTGCCCTGGGTCATGGGGTGATAGTCGCTTGCGTTATTATTTAAGATTGAATTATTTGTTTGAGTGGCCAGTAAGCTCTCCAAGTTATTGAGTGATAGGCGCTTGTGTTATTGTTTAACATTTTAATTATTCATTAGAGTGGCTAGTATGCGCCCCGGGTCATCGGGTGCTAGGCGCTTGTGTTATCAGTTAATAATTAAGTATTTAATAAAGTGTCCAGTAAGCGCCCTGGGTCATTGGTTGATATGTGCTTGTGTTATTAATTTAAAAGATTTGGGTGCCCTGTTGTTAACTGACCAAGCACGCTTTCGTATACGGGCGAATCTCAGGAGACATAAGTCTTTTTCCCCTCTATTTCTGCTGTAGCTCTGCTTTGATTGGCTTTGGAACTTTTCTAACGAAAAGTTTCGATAGTGATGGGTGTACGCGAAGATCCTTTTCGCCAACCCTGGAATAACTTTATAAAGTCATTCGGCCATGTTCGCCAACATCAGTAGTATAACGATTTACAGTAAAACTATATATGGTGGTGTTCGCTTACACTAGTATAAGTATATACGGTATTCAACTTTTATTCGCCATCTGCTGGAATTTGTGTGAAACAGCAGAAATATTTTACAAACAAACTTGTTTATCTTACAATCTTATAACCCGAGTAGAAATTGTAAATGAGCGAAAACTGGGCCCAAGCTTGGCTGACATGTTGCCTACCTTGGGCGCAGCTTGGACTGACTTGGCATGACTTTCGCCCAGTAATCGTTCACTTTCGTCTGCAGATCAGTATGATACAGAGACGTCCATATACTATTTGTCGTACTCTTTGTATATCAGTATACAAATAGTATGACGTGCGCACAGGCAGTCACACATAGATACATATATACACAAACTCATTTGCTTGTATATATCCAATATTAGTGCAGATGAAAGTGGGCGATTACTGGGCGAAAGTCATGCCAAGTCAGGCCAAGCTGCGCCCAAGTCAGCGCCGTATTACAAGTTACAAGCCCACCTTTGGCCAGGCTTGGTTGCTTGATTTGGATCGTGCGTTTAAGCTGGGCTGCCCATTTTTATTTGTATTCGGGAACGTGGTGAATTATTAGTGCTGCTTGGCTGTTTTATCACAGATTCAATACATGGCGAAATGAGAAACGAGGACCGTAAATACAGTTTACTACTAGTGTAAGCAAACACCTCCATAAATATAGTTTTACCATGTGTAGTTATTCTACAAGTGTTGGCAAACATAACGATAGATAGTTATACTACTACGTTTGCTCCGAGTTTGCTTCCTCCGTGAGACCTGATTCGAAAAAACGGAAATGACACAAAATGTTAAGAAAAACTGTATGTAATATGGTCAATGGGACCATTGGGATCACCTGTATTTTACATCGTGGTCAAAACCCATTATACAGTGTGATAAACTACGTTGAGGCCTGGCTAGGCCCTGCCCAAAGACGTTATATAGGATAGACCGGGCACGCTTATGGAGGCGGCTGAATCTTATACTGAGAGAGACAGCAATAGGGTTGGAAGAGTATCTTTCTCTCTCTAGGAAGGCATGGAGGAGAAGGTACCTTTCTTTATCTCTCTGACCTTTACCCCTGGTCACATTTCCTCTTCATGTCTCCCTAGAGAGAGAAAAATACTCTTCCAACCCTATTGCTGTCTCTCTCGGTGTGCGATTCAGCCGCCTTTATAAGCGTGCCCGGTCTATCCTATACAACGTCTTTGGCCCTGGCATTGACGTAAGCATAGACATATAAGAAATATAGACTGCTCGTTCTTGTGTACGGCGCTGAAGCAAATGTAGAAAGAAACATAGCATAGAAAGTGGTTATCTGTCTCTCTTGGGGGGTCAGTAAACTAAGTAGGGCCGATGCGAATTCCCCACTCCCTATAGTTTTGGCAATGTGCGAGAGAAACAGATACTTCCGTTTGATGTCATGTCTCTTTTTATTTGTGCTTCGCTTCAGCACCGAACATAAGAACAAGCAGTCTACCTTTCTTGTATGTCTATGGCTGACTCAACACTTGAAATAGGTGTGCTGTATTTTGCAGTATTTTATACCGTCGTAAAAAATTGTCTTCTTTATTTTTTAATTACATTTGATCCACACAATATTGTTTTTGTCTACTGCGGTAATGGCTGTGATGCAATATGGAGTTCGCAACTTGTTTGGCAAGTGTACCTTTTTTTGGGGGTTACGCAGACGTGGTCTTTGTACTTATGTCGAGCGGCCTAAGTCTAAAAATATTTTAAAACTCAGCCTGATTGGGGCTAGTTTTGGTATAACATTAGGTGCAGCTTATGCGCTTAAGCGCATTAATGACTCTCGACAAAAACTGGTTCTAGAAGGCGTGGAAATAAAACACAACATTCTGAAGTACAAGCCGAACGTAAAGACTTCAAGACGGGTAAATTCACTTTAATTTTTACTTCAATCATCCCGATGTCTAATTTTAAGCTTGAAGAATATTCCTAAAGGGTCACACGTATCTGTTAGCTAATGCGACCCAACCTTCTCATTAAATCACCTGATTTTCATTTTTATTTATTCTTTTATTTTATCATGACATTAGTTGGAAGTCATTACCATGATTTTGCTAACTCGAGGCAAAATTAATGTGTTAAAAAATATTTTTAAGTTATCGTTCTTAGATTAGCTATATATTTACAAATTGAGTACACCACTACACGCCACAAATCACGAGTCAACGAGAACGATGAGTGTCACAGACTTAAAAGAAATATAGACTGCTCGCTCTTATTCACGGCGCGAAGAACAAGTAGAGACACAACATCCAACGTGGAACTCTGAGTCTCCCGCATTTACGAACGGTGGGGATGTTGCATTAATCGGACGTATAGTTTACCATAGACACATAAGAAAAATAGACTGCTCGTTCTTATGTACGGCGCTGAAACACAAGTAGAAGGAGACACAACATCGAACGTGGAAATATGTCTCTACTACACATTGCCGTAGGTGGGAATGTGCCAGAGACATAGACACCCACGTTCAATGTTGTGTCTTCTTCTACTTGTGCTTCAGCGAATCAGCGCCGTACATAAGAACGAGCCGTCTATTTTTCTTAGTATTCTGCGCGTGTTGGCCATGAATATGGCAGAGCCAATCAGAAGAAGCTCCCTCATCTGCCACACTGCACTAGACGACTGGACCCTCTGTAATGTTTTTTAGTGAGCTTCGAGGAAGTGAGAAGACGCCGTTGGGACCGACCGGTGCCGATTGGCCAGCCGCCATTTACGGCTCATGGGGAAAGGAGTGAGCCCGAAAACGCTGCAGTTAGCCTATATGTATAAATGTCACTATTTACATTTATATGTATTGATGTATACATATCCACAAGTATATGACTAAAGTCCCCATGAGCCTCAAACGGTGGCTGACCAATCAGCACCAGTCCCAACGGTGTCTTCTCACTCCCTCGAAGCTCACTAATAAACATTACAGATAGTCCAGTCGTCTAGTGCAGTGTGGAGAGTGAGTAAGAGGGGTAGAACGAGCACAAGGAAGAGAGGCTGAAAAACGCCATTTTTGGGGCCGCATAGGTAAAATAAACAGTAGAAAGGGAAATATAGATTTAGGGCCTATTCAGATAGATTGCGATAACGCAAGGTGCACAACGCACACAAATAGCATGGGCTGGTACAACTATATCCCTAACGCACAAGAGCGGTATGTTTTACTTTTTCAGTGATGAAGAGGGTCTTCCAAAAGACAGGGCGTACGGGCGCACACTTTTGGAGCGTTCCAAAAGCTAAAATTGCGTGCGCCTGAACTGCTGTAACTTATAAGAGGATACACATTGTGAAGGGAGCATTATAAACCAATATGCATATATATATTGTATATGTATTAGGTGTTGTACATAAATAGGTTACTTAAATTACATTAAAGTTTTTTGTTTATAAAGGATCCTTCACATTAATAATATCAGACTCATCACACAAGTCACCTAAAATCTACTCAGCCGATAATAAATTTGTACTTTTGACGCGTGCCTGCGATTTTTAGCTTTTGAAACGTACCAAAAGCATCGATCCAGGCGCACGCGCACCCTGCCTTTTGGAATACTTTCGAAGATATTCGCTGTGTGCAAGTCCTTGGAAGGGGTATAAAAAGGCGATCTAAGAGCCTATGGTGAGAGAAATGTACAAAATTTCAGGACTCATAACAGTAGGGATTGCGTGTTATTGAGTTTCTCAAAACCTAGAGAAATGGTGTTTCTTTATCACAATACGATGTTTAGCTTAAATTTTGAAGAAAAATACGTAGGGTAACAACCTAAATCATCGACTTTGATGGAGATACGCGTCATTGTTTTTTATTGCAAAGTAACTTAAAAATGGCTTTTTCCCCGTTTTTATTACTTATCTTAAAAAACTTTAGTTTTGGAGCAAAGTTTTACATTCAAAAGTTGTTTTTCTGATGATTTTACGTAAGGATTACGTGTTTAAAGAAATTAGAAAATTATTTATATAGTTTGAACAAGCGAGAAAGCTAAAAAACGCAAAAAAAATAAAAGGTATGGGAATACATGTAGCAATATTCAAAATTGAATAACAATCAAACGTTTTAAAGACAATAGTATGGTTTTTATTGTATGCGAAGTCCGATCGCGAAATTTCCACATGGCAGCCTATTGTAAAATTGTGAATTGAAAATTGTGATTGTGTATAAAATGTGTCACGGGCTAGCCATCGATATCTAATTTTTTGTAATCTGTGAGGAATAACATTATTTTTACTACCGCAAAAATCGGATTTTTTGAATATCCAAAAAAAAGTTTTTAACAAAAAACCAAAAACACAAGGCCGTTTTTTTCTGTAATTTTTAACTTAGACAAAAATTAAGTGCAATTAATTACGCTTATCATTACATGAATTTAAAAAAATGGTCTCTATAGGATCAACAAAAGCCGAGATACAATACTTTAAGGTATTTACGCATTCCAGCCGTTATATTTGATTTTTAGACTTCGGACCGGCACAATTTTTTTGCTACAGGTTTATTGTACTATCCAAAATTTTTTTCCTATAGAATTGGTCATTTTTTTTTGCATGTAACGACTAATTAAAATAATGAAAAATAGAGGGTTGTTTCGGTGACACAAAAAACATGTTGGAGAAAGCGCTTTTTACGGTTAGTTATACTGAACGTACGTAAAATTAAAAAGCACTATTGTTAAGCTGAGGAAATATTCATAGATTTTTCTGCACTGTTCAGCAGCACTTGTTCACGAAGTGATTAATTGTGCAACTAAGAATATAGGCACAACGCTGGAAGGCTCTGTCAGAAAATATAGAAACACTTCCCTTCATGTATAGAAAGTCGGGCTAGACGCTAGACCTAAACTTTTTTCCACTGTCAATGTTAGTACTATACCCATGAGGGAGATGGCGTTAGGGTAGTACGTTTGTGGGGACTCTCACTACCACATGGTCACTACTGCTCTCCGTCTTTCTCCAACCATCCGCTAGGTGTCTAACCATTTAACTCGACTTTCTCGCAAGTGCCCGGATTTCATGTTAGTTAATATATAAGGGCGTTTAAGATTGAGCTAGGGTATCCCCACCGATATAGGTGTCTAAGGCAGGGAGCACGTCATCAGCCTTACTGATGAGCAGCGCTCTCAAAAGTGACTGCCGAACTCGCGGGAAATTCAAATTGGCTATATGGAGCAAGACGCAAAACCCCAGATAACTCAACAACATTTCATACATCATAACTTGATAAATTAATCCTAAGCTATTTAACCCAATAACCCAACGCGCCTTAAAGCAGTATCAGAAGCTTTAATGATTAATAAAATACATTAAACAATAACGCAAGCGCCAATCCCCACACAACCCGGGGCGCTTACTGGCCGCTTTGTTTATCAATATGATAAATAAAATAACAAAAGCGCCAATCACCACATAACACGGAGCTTACTGGCCGCTCTGTTTATTAATTAAATAAATAAAACAACACAAGCGCCAATCACCACATAACACGGAGCGCTTACTGGCCGCTCTGTTTATTAATTAAATAAATAAAACAACACAAGCGCCAATCACCACA